CGCCTGCCTCTGTTGCGTGCTTTCCCGCCTGCTGTCTCGCGGCCGCCGGGAGGGCGAGGGAGTCCCATTTCCTCTCCAATGCCGTGGGGGGGGGGGGGGGGACCTTCCATTCACCCTCCTTGTGTAGGTCATTTTTCGTGTCCTTGTGTGTGCTGTACAATGGAATTATCTCCCTTCCTCTCTTTTCATCTCCCTCTCTCTTCCCCTCTCTCGGCCCTTGTTTGTTGGTTCCTCAACAGACAAGCCCTCGCCATCTGTGTGGGTGTTTCCGGCTCTTGGATGTGGTGTGATTTTGCATGCTGTTGGCTATTGGGTGAACGCTTCACCGCCCAGGGAGAGGGGGGAGGGGGAAGCAGGTGGTCATGCTCCCCCGAGGACATGCGTGCCGTGGATATCGCCCTCGACGCCCCTTCCCTTTGTTGGCCCTCGTTCGGAGGCCCGCCCTGCCTGGCGAGAACCGGGGCGCCTCAGCCCGAAGACACCACCTTGTCGGCGACTTGGGTCCGGCGTTTCTCCGCCTCGCGCAGGAGGTTCTCCAGATGGCACTTCTGTTGCCAGAGGCGCTCGCGCCGGACCGGATCGAAGTCCCCAAAATGGTACCCCCGCGGGAGTTGGCGATCATAAATGAGCACCTTGTTGTGGAAGGCCCACACCGAGGGCCGGTGAGCCACGCTGATGAGGGTGATGCCGGCGCGCCTGGCATGGGCGTATGCGGCAGCCTCGGCCCCGAGGCTCAGGGCTGCGGTGCATTCGTCCAGCACCGCGAAGGCTGGCCGGTGATACAGCAGCCGGGCCAGGGCCAGGCGCTGCTGCTCCCCGACCGACAGCTCAGCGGCCCAGCTGTTTTGAACTCGCCAGCCGGACAGTCCGCGCGGATCCGGGCCGCGGTATTGCTCCGGCGGGTCCTCGGCCACGGCTCCCGGGGCAAGTGAAGCTCCGCCGGCCGGGGCCAGACCCAGGGCGGGCTGCTCGGCCCCCGGGCCATCGTACTCCGGTGACCGGGAGGTCACCATGCGCTGGATGCCCATTTTGCCGAGAATCTCCATGACGTCGGCCTCGTCGAAGCCACGTCGGCGCATGTCTTCCTCATTGTGGGGGTAGATGATCCTGTGCGATATGGGCGTGCGGGGGGGCGGGGGATTGGATTGTCCAGGGCCGGTGGTATCAGCATATTTTTGCGGCACGGCGGCCGGGGGCAAGTGTCGTGTGACGATCGCGCAGGAGGAAGGCAGGAGGCGGGGGTGCGGGAGGGGGGCGGGGAGAGAAAGGAAAAAAAGACCCCGACTCGGGACTTGACGCACTGCTCCAGGAGGGTGCCATTGGTCAGGTACGGGCGTTGTGGCACGTAAAACACCCCCCCGGAGGGCCGCGACACGAAGGCATCAGTCAAGGCCCCCAGGCCGTGGCATGCGGTGCACATCCGGTGCCGGTGCTGACCGGTGCCGGCGCATGTGGCACATTCCCGCGAGGGGCCCCACACGGGCCACAGGCCACCCAGCACCCGGAAGAGCGAGGACTTGCCACAGCCATTGGGCCCGAGGATTAGCAAGTGCTCGCCCTTGGCAATGGTGAAGGAGATTTCTTGCAGCAGCGGCGCGCCGCCTGGACGATCGGGGCTCCGGCCGCTGGTCATCACCGGCGGCAGGAGCGTCACCCGGTGGAACTGGCGGACATGGGGCGTGTCAGTTGGCCCCGCTGCCCGGTGGCTGCCTCCAAACGACATGCCATGCCTGGATCCGCACCCCCCCCCCCCCCCCCCCCCCCCCCCCCTCCGCCCCGGGGCAAGGCGCCTCCTCCTTCAGCGTACTTCAATCGTGTCGGCCGACTGCTTCATCCGGCCACGGGCGTACACCTGCACGCCGGGGTCCAGCGGCGTCGGTGCTGGGCGGCCGGTGGCCGTGGACCGGTGGCTTTGTGGCGGCTTGCGATCCCGATGCTGACGGGCATCGGCCTCGATGGCGTCCCATGTTTCCAGCATCTCGCCAATGCGATTGACCAAGCCCTGGGCCTTGGGCGCCGAGTCGGCCCAAGCCTTGGATGCGCGGGCCGTGGCATCGGCGCTGGAATTCAGCAAGCGCCGCGTGGCCACCAGGCTGGACGCGCGCTCGGAGGTTTGCTCCTCCTCCTCGGCCAGGCGATCCCGAGCACTTGCCCCGGCGGCCAGGGGGTTGTTGACAGTCGGCCGGAAGCCCGGGATCATGGACAGCAGGGCGCCCGCGCCGTCGCTGGTGCCGGCCGCCGAGATCAGATGCCCGGCGGCCGTGTAGATGTACTTGGTGATGTACTGCTCCACCGAGGCATGGGCAAAGCGCATGCGATCGAGGTAGTAGCTTTGCCGCATGAGGGCGTCGAATGCCTCGCGCAGGGCCCCGGTCTCGGGCCCATGCCGGCGAGCGCCATGCCCCGGAGGGCAGGCGGGGGCGTGCTTTGGCGCGCCGAGGCCGGTCGACCGGGCGACTTGACTTTCGTGACCGCCGGCCGGGCCCATCATGGGGGACCCCTCGTTGGAGCGGTATGCGTGTGTCAGTGGTCCGAAGGCCGTGGAGCTCCGGACAGACAGCGGCCCATGCGGGCCAATTAGCATGATGCCGTCCTCATAGCAGGCCGGGTGCCGGGGGGAGGCCCCGTCGGAGGTGTCGCCGTCGGGGGCTGCCCGATCGCCGGCCATGGCCAGCCGGCTCTTGGATGTGGCCCGGGTGGCATCGGCGCTGTCCATCGTCACCGTGCACCGGTCGCCGCCGCGCAGGAAACTCACCTCCTCGGCCGCGGCGTCCAGACGCGAGTAGGCCGTGCGAAGGGCCCCCTCCCGCCGGGCCAGCTCGGCCGACGCCTGGCCCAGGGACTTGATGGTCGGGCGCTCGGAGCTGGCCAGGACCTGCGGCATGTGGCCGCCGGGTGGAAGGGCCACGGCGTCGTCGAAGAGCCGGAGGATTTGCCGGGCTGCACGACTGCCCAGCTGCCGGCAGGCCCAGGCCGTCAGATGCACGGTGGCATGGGCCGTGGCCAGGGCCAGCGTTCCCTGGTACGCGGATTCCAGGAAGGTTTTGCTTGTGCCATCGGCCCGGTGTGTGCCGCCGATGAGCTTGGCCACGCGGATGTTCATGATGATGATGTCGATCACCGGCTTGGTGATGCCGCTGTGGAGCTCCACAATGGCGAAGGCCAGGGCCGCCGCATCGTGGGTGATTCGGTGGGGCGCATCGTCGATCGCAGCGCCGCCGGGGGCAGCCGTGCCGGTGGTCGGGGCCGGGCCCGGGCCGCCGGGTCCCGCCGTGTCAAGTGGCGGCTGGCTGACTCGATCGCTGGACGGCTCGCCGGAGGTGATGGCCTCCTCGGCATAGTAGTACAGCCCAGGCGGAGCCCCGTGCATGCCTTTGTAGTAGAGCTTCTCCAGATGCGCCCGGTCGGTGGTCGTGGACAAGTACCGATCCTGCAGGTGACCGGTCAGCCGGTCGCGACAGGCCAATGTCAGCTCACTTTGCAGGTAGGAAAGCTGCCAATGGCCGATCCCGGACCCGGCGAGGGTCGGGCCCGAGGCACCAGGGACCAATGGGGGCGAGTGTAGGACGCAGGTTAATAGGCGGTG